GTACAGATTATTCTTGTTCAGTTGTACATATCTAGGGATATTTCTTCTTTAGTACGGCTTAGTTACAGTCATCCTGTTTGCACTGAGTCTAAATCTGTAATACCCGGCACAGAGTTTGATATCACAATATCACCAAATTCCCAAACCAACGATAGGCTATTGTTGCAAATAAGAAAAATACACTCGAAAATTTAGTGACGCAGAATACGGAAAGAAGATTTTGAAAATTTGATACTCACATGGAACATAGGAAGCTAAGCAAAGGAAAGCAACGAGAAAGAAGCGTCTAGTTGACAAATTCGGGTAAATTCAAGTAAGAATATCACAAAAACGGTTCGTACAGGAACAGTTATTGATTGTGGCAAAATAAGACGGAAAACTCTGGAAACCCAAATCAGCGACGTCCATAAAACCCATTGTACATAGAATGAGAATTGGATAAACTCAACTTCATACTTTACCACCTTTATTTTAATACAATGTTTTAAATAGCAGATATGTTTATTGAGCTCGTCTATTCGTCAAAAATCCGCTTTCTGTCTAAGATAGTAGCAGCTATGCGGCGATTGTAATCGATATTTGAGTAAAAAAAAAAAATACCAACATTTTGAAAGCTGTTTTTAAGCAGGAAGACAATATCTAATTGGAAGTTTATAGCAAAAATCTTCTTATTTCCTGAGCGGACACAACATTCAGGTACATATAAATATCCAATAATTACAGTTTTTCTTTCTTTTTAGGGGTCTGACTCAGGGTGGTAGCAACTGTCAGTGTCTCAGCTATGGGCAAATAGTTAAGCCCCAGGCAAAGCTCAGCAGTACATCTTTTTTTAGTAAAATTACCAACAATACATTTTATGATCTACAAAATATATATCTTAAAAAAAACATGCCTTTACTCTAAAAGTATAAAACTATGCATAATATATCTGTAGTTAAAAGCACAAAATTGCGTTCAAAAGATTTGATTTCGGCATTAAATGACCCATAGAGGTATTGATATTCCGCCAAACAAAATCAGTCAAGAAGAAAGAATTCTTTCATGACATGATCCATATAATATCCTACAAGAAATGAAACTGTATTCCAAATTAAACCTTCGACAAAACTACAACTTAAAATACACATATCACGGCCTCTAGTAATTATGCCCACACACACGTATATGAACAAAAGCTGAGTATCATCTACCATGTATTCAATTGTGAAAGCAGAATGGTATATATCAAATTCAAAGCTCCCTAGAAAATTAAATTTTGGCATTATAAGGAGTTGATGCGCCGTTAAACAAAGAAATCATTGATTTATTCCTTTTAAAGGGAACATTCGTTTTTATAGAATTACTTTTTTCAAACAGCTTCGAATGTGGACTTTAGTGAGAACTCCAGAAAAAAAGGGTCTTTTCTCATCTTCGGATAAATTCAGGAAAATGATGTGCATATGTCAGTCAGTAGTGTTCGTCTAGTGGTCTCCGTTTGATTCATATCTCTTTTTCTGTTTGTAGATTGATTGTAAATATCTCAGTGTGTTTAATTATGAATCTATCTATTTGTTATTTGATCATTCTCTTTTTGTTTAATTATCTATCTATCTATCTATCTATCTATCTATCTATCTATCTATCTCAATCTTCTTATGTTTAATCAGTCACCTATCTATCTATCTATCTATCTATCTATCTATCTCAATTTATTTATCTGTCTTAGTCGGTCAAATACCGATCTCACCCTATTCCTATCTATCTATTCAGTTTTTACATCTATCTATCTATCTATCTATCTATCTATCTATCTATCTATCTACTTATGTTTAATCAGTCACCTATCTATCTATCTATCTATCTATCTATCTATCTATCTGTCTCAATTTATTTATCTGTCTTAGTCGGTCACATACCTATCTCATCCTATTCCTGTCTATCTATTCAGTTTTTACATCTATCTATCTATCTATCTATCTATCTATCTATCTATCTCGATTTATTTATCTGCCTTCGTCTCTCACACACCTATCTCACACTGTTCATATCTATCTATTCACATTTATCTATCTATTTTATTCTGTTTTTTCAATCCCATCCCATTCATACCTAAGAAATTAGAAAGTCGTCTATTAAAAGTACATTCAAATATGGATGCCATTGCGAGCCGTCCAAATATACAGAGACATACACACACACACAAACATAGACGCATACACACACACATTCGCAGAGTTCGCACACGCATCCAATATAATCAACCACTTCTATATTTGAAATAAACCGAAGAAAAAGATCTGTGCACACTGTGGGTATGTGTGTTTTACAGCAATGAATATGTATGTACACACGCACGCGTCTCAAGGCCCGAGCCCCGTGCCCCACGTTCTCCGCTTGCTCCACCCCCAACCACAAATCTCTGTTCGGTCACATTCAGGTAAACACAAGGTATACGTTTCCATCTTTCCCTTACCCTCCGTTTCGCCGCCGACAAGGAACCACCCACCCGCGTCAGCCATGATTCTTTGTTTATTTTTATTTTTTTATTCTGATTACTCATCCACCCGGTTTTCTTTCTTCTTTCCTTCATGTTTCTACCTGGGTACGACCTTAGTTATCTTCCCTGTCCCTCTCTCTCTTTCTTTCTCTTTGTGTGCGTGTGTGCGTTCTTGCGTGTGTTTAAGAGCCAATAATAGCTCGATGGTTAGAGCAAAGGAAGAGAGGATGTGCGGTTCGTCACCCAATACAAGACGCGTGAGCCACACGAGATAGAGCGTTATTGGTATAATGATTATGATGAATGAGATGCGTTATAAATAAAAAAGGAGGGTATTGAAGATTATGCGGATAAGAAAGAAAGATAACTATTGACCTTTGAGTTGAAGAGGTTAAGATTGTACTATCCAGCGAAGCATCTGTTCCACGAAGTAGCATTTCTTGGGAAAATAACTGAGTTTAACTTCCTCTTTATATTTGGAATACAGTGAAAATGCGAGAGATTCGACTTTATTACGACTGTGTTTACTTTTCTTTTTATAAACTTGTTATATCTTAAGATTCTGTTGCTTGCCTAGGGGTTAAAATGTATCTGATTTGACACGAGGAATTAATGTTCGAACTTAGGCAAGAAATTCAAATGTCGAATTCTAGAGGCAACCCTCCCCATTTTCAATATTAGTATAACAAATTATTCAAGCACCCATTGCCCTCTCTCGATTTTTACCGTACTTAGATAAATTCAACAGATCAAAGGCGAATTTCCATTCAGATTCAGGAATTGTCATAAAAATTACAGTAACCATGCTATTACTATCAGTGATAGTCGAGTAATCTGAAATTAATTTGTTATTTACGACTAAGCTAGGCTTAGTTTTAGAACGAGGCCACAAATGTAGACCATCCAGTGAGATTCGGTTCGCAGCATATATATCATATATATTTATCATGATAGCTCACGGGTGAAATATCCGATTGATGCCAAATCAATCGGGTTTCAATCTCGGCTTGTCTAGCCACACTGATGTGCTGTGATACAGCAAAACAGTCTTTCTGTTGATGAAGATTTAGGGAAATAGTTTTAGTTATATCAAATGCACACGACAACACGTGGGAGGTTTTAAAGTCACACAGGTTTTATTTATTTATTTATTTTCATCATCATCATCATCATCATCATAACCAATTGTGGGCGTATTGTCGCTGCGCAACTGGACACGTGAAAAATTACCTCCACATATCTGGGTTGAAAACATTCGTGCGTAGCGTGTCTGGGGGAAACAAACAGATGTGTCAGAGATCATCTCTCTATAGGACAAACTACAGCCAATGTCCTCCAACTTAAAGGCTCGCCTTATACACGGACACATGGTATTTGCTGACATCGGGGAAATCCCTCCGTCTAGACCATTGATTTCCTTCTAGGAAGTCCTCCGACCAGCTCCAATTTTTTCTACTATGCTTTAAATAAAAATTAATTAATTGTAAAGCAGGAAGTAACATTATTTCTCAGAAACAGTTAAAATAACAATTACGTGCATATGAACGAAACTTATTAAATACATTGAAAAATGAGAATTCTATTTTAAAATACCATACGATATATTACTATATTTGATCTTGTACATCGATATGGTAAAATATACTCAAATCCTTGAACTTCCACAAAATTATAGACTGCATACTCACCTACTTATTTATAGAAATGGATTTAGCTGAATGACCTATTATTACGTAATAGGTAAAAGTGTAGTGTAGCTATAGCGTGTGGACGAATAGTTAGAACGTCAGACCTCTGAGCTTGAGAACCTTAGAAAGGTCTTTGTCAAGGTCACTTTCTCATATCGGATTTTTTGTTATGAAATGTAAGAAAGTGCCTGGAAAACCATACCATGGGATGATCCAAGCCTTTTGTATGAAACTGGGTAGGCACAACTTTTCGGAATATGGTTGTGCTAGCGGGACGTCACTAGTCATCATGGCTGTTGACGTGATGGACTTGATTGTACTGGCCTTGTTCGACTACTGATCGTGTCAGGTTCAGCGTTTTCTTCCAGAAATTGTAACTAAGGTTCGCTCAGCATAGTTGAAGTATAAATCATAGACTAGGTCTGTGATGAAACACAAATGTGCTTGTGCAAGTGCCTGCAGTAGTGATTGGATAGATATCCGAGAAGACAAGCAAAGTCGGAAAGGAACGGCTAGCGTTTGTGTTTACTTTACTTACTTAGTTGCAGTAAATGTGACAGTGTAGCTCCAGCTGTCATTGGATGCAGAAAAGATTTAACAACCTGCAATGGTAATGGGGGCAGAAAGAATCTGTAGCCTATTTCCTAAGTGGCAACTGTTCTAGGATTTTTCTAGGGGAACACTAACAAGGGCATACTAAGATGAGGAATTCCGGATAGACATGAGGAGCACGTTAAAACCGCAGGCACTCAGGGGTAACATTAAAACGCGACCTGCTGGTGATTGACAAGACTATGAAACAGGGAATGAAGGAAAACATTGTATGCAATCACATTTCAATGAAACACTGGTGCAAAGTGAGAAAGAATGAAAAAGAAAAAAGACAGAAAAAGAAAGAAAGAAGGAAAGAAAGAAAGGAAAAAGACAAAGTTAAGAAAGACATAAAAATAAAGAAAGAAGGAAGGAAGGCGAGAAAAGACTAAAATGAAAGAAAGAAAGAAAGAAAAACAAAGAAAGAAAGAAAAAGTTAAGAAAGAAAAAAGGAAGAAAAGAAAGAAAGGAATAGAACGAAGGAAGGTAAGAAAGAAAGAAATAAAGAAAGAAAAAAGAATAAAGAGGGAAGGAATGGAGGAAGGACGGTGAGAACAAAAGAAAGAAAAAAAGAAAGAAAAGAAAGAAAAAAAGAAAGAAAAGAAAGAAAAAGAAAATAGAAGAGGCGATAACCCTCTCATGAGATTAACCCCAGTGAAATGAAAAAAAAAAAACGTGTCAATTTCAAATCTTTCCATTTGTACCCCCTTACTTCTTTAAATAAATGGCCTTCATTTATATTTATAATTGTCAATGGAAAGCTTTTTTCAAATATTAACGATGCACTTAGGGAATTTCTTCGAGTATCTTACAATCGGAAAACTCGCCTGGAGCTTATTCAGCCATTAACTTAAGAATTATGGTTCATGAAAAAATTAAAATATCAAAACCAAAAAAATTTCTAATAGTTGTTATGACTATTCTATTTTATTATTATTTCGTCACATGGGATAAAAAGGTTCTCGCGGCAATATTCTTTTTATGCTATTTTATTATCTTTTTTTCAGTTATGGCGCGCAAAGTCCGCTTTGTATTTACTCGTTCCCTCATGGTGATGTGATATGGCACAAGACCGTTTTAAAGTAGGTAGACTAAGCGCATGCGCATAGGCCATGTCCCAGAATGGTCATCGCGCCCAACAACACTCTGGTGTCGATATTCCTCCAAGCTTCCCTCTTTGGGGAAATCACCGGGACCAGGCATATATCATTTATTTATTGTTTTGTCCGAAGACAGAAACTCAATTGCGAGATAAAATGTATTATGTCCGCCCGAAGGCAGATACTACACTTTGATCCCAGCCTGAAGACCCTATATGGCCATTTAAGTTTTGGACAAATATCTTTATTCAATCCAGAAAAAATTCATACCTTTGGTAGTGAGAATGGAGTGACCTTACCAGGGCGCAGGCCTAGGTGATGGTATATAGAGGCTGTGTGTTGTACACCTCCTCTCGGTCGTACAAAGGAATACCCGGTATTACATTTGGGGACGACGTGGTTGCAGAAGTTGCCGGAGTATTGACAGCCAAACGCTTTCGGTCTCCATTCCGGGTTTTTTGTTTAGATTTACTTACCTAGCCTTTACCGTGTTTGGATATCACGGCAAGGCAGCGGTGGATTAAAATCAGGGTATTCCTTCCCTTAGATGGACTGCCTTATCGAGCTCCATCTACCTGAAGCACCTGGTTATAAGGCGCCACGTTTCCGCCTTCGTCATTCTTGGATCTTAACTTGGTTGTCAGAGCTATGCGAGACGCGTGCCAACGGAAGCATTTTATATCCCGGCTATCACAACATAGGTAAAATAGATAAAATATAGGTCCTGTAGTATATGCATTATAAGCAGGTAATATAACATATCTTTTGCTGATATGGAAGTAGAGTGTATAGGCAAATACTTTTTATCAACATTTACTTATCTTTTTACAGTGATGTTCAGCCTGTACAAGGCCCAGTAGCCACTCGAGGTAGAGGGTTACAGAGTAATAAGCACAGTTTATGCGAATAGGTAGGGAAGAAAATGTTTAACACTAGACATGAACAGGTTAAGATTGTAGTGATCGGGAAAACATCCTCAGTTCCACAGAGCAGTGTGTTCGCAGGAAGAAGCTGCCGAAGTGGAACTTACTTCTCACCAGTGGAATATGGAGAGAATGAGTCGTTCGTTACAATGTGCGTAGCATGGCGGGTCTTAGCCGTGAAAATTAGAACTGCTGAAAATAAGGTTGATTGGTTTGTTTTATGGCATATCAACCTCAGTGGGTCATTTAATTCCAACAATTTTTTAAAATAGATACATAGTGATAGTTTGGTAAAAAAAAAAAAGGTGTGTATGTATACATATATATTTGAACCATTTTTTAATTACTAATATTTTTGAGTACAATCACATGTATTGCTGGTATTTTTTTTTCAAAAACGTATTGCTGGTAATAGTTTATTTTTCTTTTCAAAAATTAATTTCTGGTAATAATTTTTCAAAGTATTTCTGGTATTAAATCCTATTTTTACAATTTTATAATGTTTTTGTTTTTTTAACTCAGTTTCGGGGATAACTATTTGCCCATAGCTGGGACCCTAACAGGTGCTACCACCACGGGTCAGGGAAGAACTGGGAACACCAGCAATTAAGAGATGGTTCCACGCTTCTCAAAACCTCCTTATCAGAGGTCTTGCCGTTGGACGTAGTTTATTGTCTTACCCTTGACGCGGATGTAGTTTATCGTCATACACGGGATGCCCCATTGTAAAGGTACAATCGGCGTATTCTACAGCCCATGACGACAGGGCGCTGGAACTAAGGAATGTAGTTCGACTGAGCAATTCCATAGCAATAACGATAGAACAGTGAAAGGCTTACGACGTTTCGTCTGTGAGAGCGGGGTTGTAGAGTGGAAGATAATTTGTCACCCGCAAGGACGCGGAGACTCTTTTGGACACTATCGAAACTGGAAAGTGAAGACTGGAAAAACATGAAAGTTCGAAAGTTATGAACAGGTGTGTCAGTGTGTGTGTGTGTGTGTGAAGAGGGGGGTGCAGTCACCAATCTACATATGAGGGAGCAATTCAATCACTTCCTTTTTGAGAACACAACCGCCAGACTAACTAACCCACATATGATTTAATTATAGTGATGAAGGTTTGTGTAGAGCCAGTCACGTTTTTCGGAAGAACTAATTACATAGTGTGCCACGATGTCTCCAAACAGCTAACCTCAGGTTTGAAATCACAGTCTTCTTTATCCTATACTGGCCGCCACGCAAGGCACGATCTTTCGTGCTATTTAACTCTTCGCTTGAAGAAGACGGGTTCATGCCTTTTCCAAAATCAATAGTGCGAAGTGAATGAAATAGAACAATCCCATTTCTCCGGCGATAACCGTTCTGTTATCGACACACACGCAAACGCTCACGTATGTGTATGCATGTAAAATGTCAACCGTTCACTATTCGCATTCACAAACACACACACACAGATGCACATATGTATGTATGCATATATGTATGTATAGAATTAAAAAGAAAAAAAGAAACAGAGAGAGAGAGAGAGAATATGAAGGAAAAGAGAAGCGAATGAAGAAAAAGTGACCTCGTGAAGAGAGATAAGAAGACAGATTGAAACCTAGAAAAATAGACAGGGACTAGAATAAAAAAACTCTTACATTAAATGTTTTTGCAGAGTGAAATGCATGAAACGAGGAAGGAAATGACTGGACCAAAATAAAGAAAAACAGAAGGAAAGTCAGTGAAACTAAGAGAGGTAACATTATTAAAATTAGAAGAAGAGGAAGAGAGAAAGGATTTGAAGTGAGATATAAAGAGAGGGAAAGTGAATGGAGGGAAAACGATAGGTCAACATCAACAAATTATTCAAGTGAAACATTATTCATGCAAGTTCATACGAAATTGTCTCCCTTTAGCTAGTCTCGCTTTGACTTAAGTGGCAAAATTTTAAAAGCTTTTTTATTGTAATATTTCTTCTTCTTTGATGATGATATTATTATTATTATTATTATTATTATTATTAAATTACAGAGAAGAACACCAACAATGTGACGCCCGGGTACAAACATACTAAGACCAGTTATGACACTCAATCGATGTTATTATTATCATTATTTCTTTTGCATCTGTTTTGTGTAGTATGTTGCCTTACACCCCAAGACTCGACCAGAGACTTTAAGCGACGACAAGGATTTTATATCAAAAGATGCAAACAGATGAGGTGCCGTGCAATGAGAGAGAGAATAAAATTTATTTTTGGTCACTGCATGGAGAGAAATCTACGCATGATGTGTGAAAACAAATCAGTAAATTTTTTTGTAATTCATAAATTATAGGGCTGCCAGGAACTGGATCCACATATTTGTTTGCACCTTTTGATAACGTTCCCAAAGCTTCAATAACAACATGTAATTTTACTGCCTTGAGATTCTACATTCTACTGATTTTTATCTCGAGGTCTTATTATTTATTTAGTTTCACAAACGTTTACAAATATTTTTTTCTTGTCGGCTGAGCCTGCAGCATCTATTAGAAGACATGTCTTATCAACATGATTTTTCACAAATATGCCAGATCGATTTTCTTGAATTTCTCTATCAGTCTCTTAAACTCTTAATTCTGAACAACTTATGTTCCTTGTATTTGGTTAGTTTCTGAAAATTATTATGATTATTATTGCTGTTATTATGTATGTAGATTTAATTAAAATTCAATTTATAACAGTAAGACACATATAAAACACAATTTGTAATAATTTTTCACGAATTGTTCAGATATTACACTGGCAAAGTGTTTCTCGCATCCAGAATGTGCTGGAGGGTCGACTTAATGGCCAAGATAAAAATGTGTATGTGTTTATGTGTGTTTGGGGAAAGAGTAGGCAAAACTCAAATGGAAAGTGATGGGAATTTCTTAATGTTTCACCTTGCCTATTTATTATACAATTTTCCTAAATTATTTTAAAATTCCAGATGAAAATGTGGGGGAACACTATGCATTGAATACAGAAAAGTACAAAAAATGCAGCTTACTCCCAGCGACTACTGTCGCTCTAGTTTCGGTATTCATTACCTCACTTAGTGCAATAAGGAAGTTGCTGTTGCAGATTTGGAATCCCGGGGATTAGCCTTCTCCATAATTTAAGGAGAACAGGTACCATGTTTTGATCCCATCCCTAAGCAATAAAAGCGTCAATCTTTCATTTTTTCTGTTCTCATCATTAATCCTATCCAACCTGATTTGTCTCTTTCTTTTTTTTTCTCTTGCTAGTGTGACGTATTTTTCATATGGAAAAAAAACCGGTTTTAGTTGTAGGCAGTATCACATATCGAACAGGATAGACAAACCTTACGGGAATTAAATACGGCTTGGTTATTCTGCGTGATTTTTTCTTTCGGAAATATAAGATTATTCAAAATAAATATCAACTACACCGCTGTATTATAGTATAGAAAACAGGGGGTTAGCTGAGGGTGAACGTAGATGTCAGACAAGATATTTAAGGAACCATACCCTCTATTGTCCACCCGTCAAATCGCCAATACCCTTAATTTGAACATGAGTCCAGGAAATTATAATTTAATCAACGGCAAAACACACAAATATTTCAATGATCCTAGAAAGAAATCTGCTTCATTCGTAAATAAAACTCGTCCTTTTTACTGGTACGACCCTAGTTCTTTTTATTAGATTGATAGAAAGTCCTGACTCTCTTAGGGAGCTGAAAAAAAATAACAACATTTTATAGAGCAACACCAATATTTATGCTTCAGTATAAAGTGCATCATTCTCAACGATCTTCTGACAGATTACCTAACCTAATGTTGCTCCATGAAACGTTTTCTTTCCGCTTCCTAAGTGAGTCAGGACTTTCTGGCCAACCTAGTATTTCCATTATCAGCATGTTTACACCATATATATGCTGATTATCGCTAAAGATTAAGTAACAGTAAGCTCCAGCATCTACCTTAGTATCTTAGCAGTATCATAGCAAAGGTAGCGGTCATGCAGATGATCATAGAAGCACTGAGAGTATTCCCAAACATACTCAAAAATAAACTGAAATATTTGTGAATATAAGTGAAAGGATTTAAAAAAAAAAACTTAATTGAAATCGGCAAAGATAGTAGAGAGAGTTTTTTTTTTTTTTTTTTTTTTTACAAGGTGGTTCAACTGGTGTAAGGCCGGGGAGCCACTCGAGGTAGTGAGTTACAGAGGAAGAGGCACAGTTTATGCGTGTATGTAGGAAGGATAACGGTTAACCTGAAATTTGAACAGGTTAAGATTGTGGTGATCGAGAAAATATCCTCTTGGGAGTCGACTCCACAGATCAGTGGTTCGCAGGAAGAAGCTGTTCGAGTGGAATTACTTCTGGAATACGAAGGAAATGAGGGTTGTTTCCTTCAATGTGGATAGCATGGCGGGTTCTAGCCGTGGAGGTTAGAACTGGTAGAACTAAGTAATGCAGTTCGTTTGAACACTTTCCATGGAAGTAACGATAGAGCGGTGAAAAGCTTGCCACATCCCGTCCGTGAGAGAGGGCTTGCAGGATTTTTTTTTTTAAGCATTACGCCCCGAGCAAGGCGTGAAGCCACTAGGATGCAGGGGGTTGCAGAAGATTTGGAGCGAGAGCAGATAGGAGTGATAGAAGAAAGGATGAGGAGAGGGATAGTGGGTAGATCAAGGTAACTGGAGATGTCGATTGACATTACATTTGAATAGTTGGAGATTATAGCGCTCAGGGAAACAGTAGTTGGGAAGGGTGTTCCACATGCGAGAGGTGCGAGGTAGGAAGCTATTGGAATAGAAGAGACGGCTACATTTAAAAGTTTCTACAGTGTAAGGGTGGGAGCGGGATGCCAGCCTCGTAGGGAACTTGAATTCATGAAGTCTGGGAACCAGTGAAAACAGCTCATCGGAGCAATTACCATGAAAGTATTTGTAGAAAAGACAGAGAGAGGCGGCGGCGCGTCTGTGAGAGAGAGTGACTGTAGACGAAATGCCAGATCAGGGCTAATTATATTACATATCCGTCTCTGGATCTTGTCAAGAACTCCGAGGTAAAGAGAAGGTGCCCCAGACCATATATGGCAGCAATACTCCATGCAAGGGCGATGTATAATAATTTGTCACCGACAAGGATATGGAGACGCCTTTGAACTCTATCAAGACTAGAAAGTGATGAAATTTTGAGATAACTTGCTGTTACATTGTCGCTCAATAAACAACAATAAATCGACAAGAGCCATAATAACTTGAAAGACTCCAGAAAATTTCACGGTTTTCCTATTTAAATTTTCTGATGAATCTAAAGTTATTGATTGAATAATTCAGAGCGAGTTCTACGACAATAAAATATTGGTAGAAATTTTCCTATCATATCATTAAATATTTGAGATTAACAACTTTTACGAAATATTTCCATAACAATCACAAGTATAAATGCTGGTGGTTATTTTAAGTGGGTAGAAATGAAAAGATTTAAAATTGACAACTTTTTCCATTTCACTGAAACAATCGTCAAGCATTTCTTTCTTTCTTTCTTTTTCTCACTGAAACCAAGTAGCGTATCTGGTATGTGTTTTGTTTCTCCACGCGATCGAACCAGAATAGTCCATTATTTATGAGGTATTAACAGGAGACGTTAAACACTTATATCTTCCCTTCTTTCTTTTTTTTTTTTCATTCATTTTTTTCACTAAAACCAAGTAGTGTCTTTTCCCCTCTTTTTCACGTGATCAAAACGGAATCAGTTATGAGTTATTGGTAGGATGTAACGGTCGTGCGAACTAAAGAAGGTAGCGGCAAGCACAATTATATCAGGATAATAATAATAATAATAATAATAATAATAATAATACATTCGTCAATATACCGCACATTCAATCTTCGTTAAAAACAATTCTTGGGAACACAAACTACCACAAGTTATAGAGAATGAAGTGTTTATTATTCGCTGGAACTTCAGCATTCTGAATGATATGCTAATCCAGACATATCGACCAGAAATAATTGTGAAAAGTCATGTTGAAAACATTTGTTTTATGATTGATGCTACAGCTCCCGGTGACAAAAAGACATCTTTGACAACGATTGAGAAACTAAGTAAATTAGCTCGAGATAGAATTCAATAGAATGTCACATCTTAAGTGGGAGGATGAGAAAAAATAAAAACAAAATGGTTGTCTAAAATTCTTGGTAACTGTAAAATACTCAAATTGCAAAAAGTGTTACTTATGCATTCTCTCTATGCAGTGACCACGATTACATTTTCTGTGAATGAATGGTAACTCATTTGTTTGCATCTTCTGATGCAATAAAAAAATACTCTCTTTAAATCTCTAGTCGAGACCAGAGCGCAACTCGAACTCAAGAGAGCAAAGACAAAATCTCAACCCCAACAAAATTAATAAAACTTAGAAAAGAATTCGAGTTAAGAAAAGAAAAAAGAAAAGACACGGTGTTTAACAACGTTTATCAATATTTCAGCAGTATGTCTGTCTTCTTCAAGTTGTGTTTATAAATTGCATGCAAGTATAAAATAAAATAAATAAAATACTATTTGTACAACTATGATAATTACATTTGCAAACTATTAACGTCCCAGAATGAATAAAATATCAGAAAGATTCTATAAGATTTATACTAAGCTGTTTCATTAATTCGTTTTATTAACAAATCTACTGACAGAAAATTTCAAGATGGCCACGCTTCCATCACGCTACTCGCGTTTAATTTGCATTTTATTTACGCAGATAGGTTTCATTCGTTTTGCCAAGTCTAGTGATGTTTGTACAGACTATTGTTAAACATTGTCTTTTCTTTTTCTTTTCTTAAATCGCGCTATTCTATAAGTGTTGCTTTATTATTATTATTATTATTATTATTATTATTATTATTTTCCTTGATTTCTGTTGCATACCCATTTCTTCCCGGGTAAACAGAGAGCTAAGGTCAGAAATGGTATCATAATATTTTCCACTGCATATTTGTATAAAAAAAGAAAACAACAGAAAAAACACACATTATATATATATATATATATATATATATATATATATATATATATATATATATATATATATATATATCCCACCTTAAGGTAAATATAGAGCCGTGCTTGTTATTTGACTGCCAGAGATCCATTCAATAAGTTTATCAGATTTTTTTCCAATCAAACCTAGGTTCCAAAACACAATCAGAATTATCGATTTCTTCTTCTTCTTCTTCTTCTTCTTATCATTATTATTATTATTATTATTAGTAGTAGTAGTAGTAGTAGTAGTGGTGGTGGTTGAGGTTTTCGTGGTATTTTCGCACAAATAATAACTAGTGGCTTTCACTGAAGATCAAGTGATAGCAAATTTTTCCCTTTTATCAGCATTTTTCTAAATATTTTAGTAATTCTGTCGTTGAAATAGTCTGGATTCTTCCTTGGATTTCCCCTTCTTCCAATCTCTTTGCAAAGTACATTGAGGCCATTCCAAAAACTCTAACCAAACACGGTGGTCACGGCCATCAGCTTTTAACTTTAATACTAAATAATCGAGAATGTGTTAGGCTTTCTTGGAAACCTTCATTTAAAAAATGCTCTAATTACAAATCATTGATTGACCTGTGATTGCTTCAGATGATGATGATGATCATGATGATGATCATGATGATGATTTTTGTACCGACAAAAAATAAAAACTGCCGTAAGCGTTGTGAGGAGGGGTTGTATTCATCATCATGGAAGTAATTATGACTATGATAATGTGTTACTATTTTTAAGAAAGAAAGAAAGAAAGAGGAAGGAATTTAAACGAAAAGAAAGCGAAAAATTTAAATAAAAAGTAAAAAAAGAAAGACAAAAATAAAAAAATAGATTAAATATAAGTAAAAGTTGACATAAAACGAAAGCAAGAGAGTTAAAGAAAGAAGAATCAAGAAGAAAAACAATGGAAGAAACTGAAAACAGGAAAGAGTGAAAACATATTAAAAGGAAAATGAAAAAGTAAAAAGAAATAACTAAACAAAAAAAACAAAAGACGAAAAGTAAGAAAATAAATTACGAAGGAAAAAGAAAAGGAAAACTTTAAATAAAATAAAAGAAATGATAAAAAGAAGAAAAAGAAAGAAAGAAAGAAAGAAAGAAAAGGAAAGAAAAAACGGAAATAAAATGAAAAATGAGAAAGAAGAAAGAAAACGAATGAAACGGATAGAAAAGGAAGGGGAATTCAAAAGAAAAGTAATAGTAAAAAGAAAAGGAAAATAATGTAATAGAAATGAAAGGAAGGAAGGAACGAAGGAAGGAAGGAAGAAAGGAGGGGAGGAAGGAAGAAAGGAGTAAAAAATAAATAAATAGAAAAGCTTACATTAAGAAAGCGAAAAGCTCATATTAACATGTTGAGTGAAGCCGCAAGTGCAGCGTTTGCTTCAACAAACAACTTTCAACAGCAGAATTAAAGAAAGGACACACTGAAGTCAAGTAAAGATGGCCTTGCACCAGACTTTAGTCAGCAAGAAAATCCTGCTAAGTTAAAAAGAAAATCTAGCTGTTTTTTTCTTTATGGGACTAAATGTGTAGTAAATGATAGACTCGCTTGTTTTTCTGAGTATGTGCGTGAATATATGTGTGCGTGCAGGCCTATGTGTATGTGTGTGCGCGTTTTTATTTCGACTTCGACAGGTAGTCGTAATGACGTGCCGTCGAATAGGAGGGGTAGATAGTGTGTGGTAAAATAAAAGTGGGCTCTCTTCGGGTGGTGGGAGTAGGTCAACATTTTTTTGGTAGTGGGGGGTTCGGGTTTAAGACGAATCATCTTATTCCCCAACCGCCACCATCTCCTTGACCCCACCCATACCGCATTCATTACCTGCTTTGCTTTTATTTTACATACACTTTTATTTTCCTAATGACAAAAAAATATATGTTTGTGTGTTTTGTTTTTGTCTTTCTTTTTTCTTAACTTTATTGAATTTAGTTCATTTTTTTTCTTTTCTCTATCTTTTTTCATTTCCTTCTTTCTTTGTCATTTTTTCTTTCTTTTTGCTTTGAATAGGGCTTTCTTTCCATTTTTTTTCGTCTATTTTTTTTTTTTTTCCTTTGTTTTTTTTTCTTTCTTTCTAACTTTCTGTTTTATCTTTTTCTTTCTTTTTCTTTAATTGTCATCCATTTTTTTTATTTATTTTTTTCATTGATTTCCTTTATTTTTCCTTGTCTTGTTATGAATTTTTTTCTTCACTTTGTTTCCTACTTAATCACCTATCTTCCCATTCTTCAGACTTACTTCCTTTTCTTACTTCTTTCTCTCTAATTTATTCACCTTTCTTTCCTTATTACAATCATTCTGTTGCTTCTTTTATTTCTCTTTATTTTTTTTTTCTCTCTCTTCCATTTGATATAAATTTTTGCAAGGTGTGTTTTTTCTCTTTCTCGAATTCTAGAAATGTCCGAAGCTTAGAGCGTCATTAAGTTCAAAGGACGCCTAGCAAGAAAATAAAATAAAATTGTGTTACGTCGACCGTTAAAATGTTAACGACTTCGGATGTTTGCCTTGAAAATCAGCGTTCGATATCTTGGCGTTTGCACGTGCTAGAAATACCAACCACCGGTATAATTAATAAATCCCAGCATCCATTGCATCTTCCGGTTGTTTTTGTGAATACTTACTCGTTTCGCGTTTATTTTGTTACTCATTCTACTGCGTCTCGCCTCACTTTCTCTTACTCATTAATCTGACCCTCTCTTTCTCTCTACTAATTTGTTCTTTTTTTTTTTACCATAAAAGACGCTTGCGTCATTTTTTCCATCTATCTCTTGGTAATTTCTTACTTGATGTTATCTAATGCTTCTAATTCTCCCTCCTTTGACTTATAGATCTAGTAATCATATTACAAATAATAATAATAATAATTATTATTATTATTATTATTATCCATTCACAAAGTGTTCACACCAGTCGTAATTGGTGGCTTAAACTGGAGATCAAGTGGCAACAAATCTTCGCAGTACTCCAGCACTCTCCGCAGTATTCTTGCTGTTTGCAACAATGCTACCGCCTGGTTGTTCCTGATCCCTTCCCCTAATTTCCAGCTCATTCAGTCTTAGCCTCTTTGATACGTTTCCATGTGATCCAATAACGACTGGCACAACTGTCGCCTTCATGCGTCAGAACTTCCTTAGGTTCTCGGGCAAGGTCGAGATCTACTCTGTGGTCTGCAAGAACCACAGAAATATGGTATATCTTCTGATTTGGATTAGCTTTTTCATGTTCCAGAGCATTTTATGCGTTTCCATTTCCGGGACAAACTCTGACCTGTGCATATACCATTAGCTTTCTTTTTTTATGCTTAAATTGCAATGATTTGCACAGTTCCCAGTGAATAACCTCTTCACCCAAACATTCCTCTTCTTGCACAATTTCTAAATCAACATGTTGTATTCGCTTAGATTGCCTCACTAACGATTAGCTAACTAAACTTTACTGCTGCATTGAGTACTGCGTGCACTATATTTGTGAACTTGTGCCAATATATATATATATATATATATATATATATAATTCTTGGTAGGGGAAGGTTGTCAGAGAACAATATATAAGGTAGGATCAAAAAATCCAAACACTGACACACACATACATATATATATATATATATATATATATATATATATATATATATATATATATATATATATATATATATATATTCGATCTAAAATTTAATTGTAATATATACGGTTTCACTGAATTATGTGCATTGACAAGAAAGAAGATTATTCTAAAAAATACTGTGTAAAATAAAGGCTTTTTATTCATCAATTGGTTGTGGAATTGTTGATCTATCTAAGCACGCGTTTCTTGGTGTAATGGTTAGCAAGCTTTCCCTGCTCGATCAATTTATGACCGAGTAGTGAGTTCGATCCTCACTGGGTGCCCCATTTTTCTGTCTTATGCAACATCTAAGCTACCCTTGGAAAGGCATCATATGAGACATATTTTCTTGGTAGATTTATTTATTTCAGCCTATTTTTTATAATCAGTAAATTTTCTGTTTTTGGTGGGGGGTGGAAATCAAATTGTCTACAAAAGAAAATCTGTTCTTTAAAGGTTATCTTCTTGATCGATTCCAAAAGGCAATAATGGTTCGATTCCTGTCGGGGGTACACTTGCTTTACTAGCACCTCTCAATCGCGAGACCAGTAGTCATTATTTAACTGTTTACGGTTACTAATAGTAATATATAAGCACGTGTACCAACCAAATATACCGTTTATACTAATAATAAGGAATAATGTCACATAAAACAATCCATTAATTACTTATCTCACACACACACACACATATATATATATATATATATATATATATATATATATATATATATATATATATATATATATATATATATATATATGCTTCTATTTCTCAGGTTTTCTTGTTCTTTTCTTTTGGCTTCCCGGCTTTGAAGACGTGGTGCCTGTTCATTGGTCACACTTCGCGAACTCGTACACTCACCAGGCGTTTTGACTGTGTCTATTGAAGTGAGGTCGGCACGCGTCTCTCCGGCGGCCACATGACAAGGGGTGGGGCTTATTGGTAGCCGCCTTCCTCCCGACCCGACTATATAAGGCTGACTGTCCCACTTGGGTCGCGCTCATTCTCGCTATAGACACGCGTGTGGGACAAGAGCCACAGAGAAGAAGAAGAAGAGGAGGAGGAGAAGAAAAAGAAAGAGAGGAAGTAAGAAAGGTTGAAACAACCTGAAGAAAACACGCAAGAAAAAAAAGAAAGGGAAACAAAGTGGGCGTGGGAGAGACAGAGTAAACGTGTCAAAGAGTAGATAAGAAAAAGATAACGAAAGAAAAAAAATATAATTTATTAACAAATTTTATACTTATATATATTCACACGCACACATACGTATATATTTTATATACATATACACACTTTTTGGAGTTCTAATTTCAGAATTCTAATTTGTTTTCTTGTCGCTGTCAAACATCGACGTTGTTTGAAAAAAAAAAAAAAAAACTTCCTTTGAAAGGATCAAAACAGTAATGGACTAGACTCCATACCGGCAATTATATTTGAAAAAAAAAGAAAAGAAAGGGAAACCAACATTTAAACAAGACAAAAAATAGGGTCCCTCGAAAAGCTGAACGATTTGAAAAGAAATTTTAATCTTGGACAGTTATCATCAGTGCGAATCTTAGAGTTAAGTTAAGAAAAACAGGGGTAAATCGGAAAACAAACCCGTCTTTAGAAAAGACAGGATTTAATATTCCGTGACACCGCACACAGTCGGAGGGTATTTAAAAAAAAAAAAAAAGCCGTGATATAAATAAAGAAAAAGAGAGAGAGAACCAACAAAACAAAAAGAGAGAGAAAAGACAGAAAAGAAAACCAAGGACCATTCTAATCAGTCAACAGTGAGTAGTTGATCATATAAAAAAAAAATGAGGACGTGAATACATACATATATAAATACATATATATGTAAACTTATCGTAGAGAGAGGGAGAGAGAGAGAAGACAACACGGGACATTTATAAGGGGGAAGGCAGGCAAGCGAAAGAAGAAAGTCCCCACGCGACAAGCACACGCCCGCCCTCAATCCGACTGACTGTCAGTCGCTAACACCTTCGCTCGATAACTCTGCCCGGCAGTGAACAAACCGTGGTTTCAACTACAGGGCTACTTTACTCACAGGAGCCTCACACACGCGCACACAGACGCGCACGCGATAGCTCAACACTCTCGAGAGAGAATTCGTCAGCATTTTCCACATTTGATTAGATGTAAACACTTGTAGATATATATATAGATATATATATATATATGTATATATAGATATATCTATATATCTGTATATATATATATATATATATATATATATATATATATATATAGATAGATAGATAGATAGATTGACACATAAATTACTAGTTATAAATATGCATACATATATATGTATATATTCTTGCTATAAGTGTTGATATTTTCTACAAAGCAATTCTTGATAAAAAATATCAATAATTTTATTTATTTGATATTTATATATTTATGTATACAACGTTATCGACGTTAATGATTTAAGCTAAAGGTTTATGAAATCTAGTGATTTTAAATAAATTAGAAAAGAAAAAAGCGTCATTATATATAAACTTTAAAAACGATGGAAGGACAGGTTAAAACTCTTTCGTTTACCACGATTGCTAATGTCACTGGACACACGGCAGTTAATGGACAGACAGTTTTAAACACGTTATCCGATGAAGATCGTCCAACCTGCATGTTTTCTACAGTACTTTCTCCCATTGCAGCGATTACGACGACACCAAATTCTAAAGTGCATCGTTCTATGAAGGAAAACGCACGGGAAATTGTAAACTGTAAACGAAGGTTAGATTTTAACCACGCAGGCTACATCCCAATGCACCGTCCACAGACAGTGGCCGTGGCTCGTCGCAACGAACGAGAGAGAAATAGAGTGAAGCTAATCAACATGACATTCGCCACGTTACGCGAACATCTTCCCAACGCTTCCAAGGGAGGCAAGAACAGAAAAATGAGCAAAGTGGAAACGTTGCGGGCGGCCATCGAATATATTCGCTATCTGCAACAAATGGTCGACGAACATGATGCTGTGAATGCGGTCTTTGACAGCAGCTACCTGTCGGCGGCCGGGCTCACAGCCGCTAGCCTCACAGCTGCTGGACTCTACCAGAACACAGCCATCCATTCGCCAAGGCCAAGCTCCTGTTCAGACAGTTCCTTAGAGGGTCTCAGCGCCGAAGAAGAAGAACTTGTTGATTTTGCGAATTGGTTCTGACGCGTCGAAACCCATCTTAACAGATAGACAGAGACATGTTTTTTTCAACAAATTGTGATGGTAAGTGCCTTCTTTGATTTTAATTATTAAAAACTGTTTATATCACCGGTAAGATCTTAAGTACCTCAAAAGTTACATCCACTTACAGCTAATAGTCTTGGATTAAAAGTGGATAAAAAAACGATACAATAACCACGTTAGTATTTTAACACTACGTTCGAATTTGTTATGTAGGTAAGGAAAGTTTCGGCTTTTCTTTAAATTCTAAATTTATATCTTATTTTATCTCATTTTATTAATTTCTTCGAGATTTTGACCGAAAATAAGCAAATTTTGGCACTTGAATATCAGAGTGATCCATGAAAATCAGAGAATGGATTGTTATTATTCACAAACTGGAACAAGAATGTTATTGACAAAATATAACGATTACACCTAATAACTAAAATGTATTGTCAATGATTTTACTGAAAATGAGGAATAAAAATTTGGCAGTAGCCAGGAAGTTAGGCCTCTAATAGTCACAGAATAAGCAACTAGTATATATAATAATACAATTTATTTTAGTACAAACGCCATTTTTAAATGATTAAAGTAAGAAATCTCCAGTCATTCAAAATTTCACTATGCTTGTGATAACAGTGAACATGTAAACTTTAGTAATTGAACCTGTAGCATCTTGATTTCCGACCATGTGTCTACGTGTTCTAATCCCATTTGAATTGATTGAAAGTTGTAGTTTTAATGGCTTTTGTTACTTACTATTGTATTATTTTTCTTATTTAAATGATTTTTTAAACAGAATATTTGTTATTTTCTTATATTTTCTGTGGTATCTTTTATTAAAAAAACGTATTTTCTTATGTTTAATTTGCTTCATAAACAATCTCACTCTTAGCTTTATCTTCATATTTTAGAAGATTCGGTTTAAAAGTAATATTATTTATTCTCCTCACCCTTTCTCTTCCATTATCTATCTATCTATCTATCTATCTATCTATCTATCTATCTATCTATCTATCTATCTATTTGATTGACAAACATGTATTTGTTCTTTATCTTATTCTATCTATATTTGATCTGTACTTGATCCTAATTCTATCTATCTATCTATCTATCTATCTATCTATCTATCTATCTATCTATCTATCTATCTGTCTGTTTTCTAAGTGATTGCATAATTGAATGTATGAGGTGTGAAAATATATACCGGCATAGAAAAACTAAGTCAACAGACCAAATTTGAATTTTATACAGAAAATGCCTTAATTAATGACTTTGGAAGAGGCACGACCCCACTTTTCCCTACGTTCTATTCTATCACTAGATACCTTGAAAGAATGTATAATCATTGACATGCTACGATAGTTAATGGGGAAGAGAATGGATGAGTGTACATCTTACATGCCCAGGGATTAACCGCAAAAAATACATTACTTCCATTATCAACCTCGACAGATTTTAATAGAACCTCTTTGTGCTTTTGATGTTTTACCAAAACTTTTCGGTTGATGCATTCTAGAGAATTTGTAAGGAAAGAAAAGTGTCTACACGTGATAAAGGTGGTATCCGTTGTATTTTTAAAAACATGAGCTAAACAAATTGTCCGAACAAACTTGGAACATGCAACGTAATTATTATAGGATTGCGTATGTGTATATATATGTATGTATGTATGTATGAGGGGTGCTGAAATTTCTCAAATCAACCAAAAAGAGATGTTTCAAAATTCAATGTTGTTTTCTGCTGAAGCTTGTGTCCTCACATAAGAAGTTTCTCGTGGTAAATGCCAAGAGATAAATTAACTTCTAATGTTCAACACAGTTTTCCAATTTTCAAAACATTCTATGGTGCTTTGGTCTGAATTTATATTTTCCTTTCTGTTTTTCAGATTGTCAGTTTTCATGTCATAGTGTTTGAAAGAATTCCCTGTGTTATTAAGTGAACGGCTATTTTCTTCTTATTGTTTAATTGTAGTTCTTCCACAGTTTTGTTTCTTCTCCAGATTATTCGCTTTAGAAGCAACTTCAAAATCAAGAGCCATCACTGAAGTCTCCACAATTTTTTAAACATTCTTCGCAATATTCTCACAGACCTTTTGTAATAATCTTCAAAGCTCCACTCCTTCCAAACTCTTACACGAGATTTGGGGGCCGTTTTAGGCAATCCCTTTATGGTTGGTCTGAGAAGTTTTCGTATCTCTTGTATGCATACATAGATACAAATGCAATTTCATGCCAAACAAATGTGTGTTCCAGGCTTTATTCCAACAAATTTTTGGATTAGAGGCAAAATAGTTATGAAAATGTCTGTCGCTTTTAAGTTTAATACATTTTTCTCTCTTATAAAAGGTTTTGATATTTTCCATTTATTTTTTAGCTGACCAGCAATTTTGTCCAGTGAATCAATTACATATTTTGGACGTATTTTTTTCATTGTTTATGACAACTAGCTTGATTTGATTGTTCATTAAAACCTGGGTTGTAGTTGTCAACATATTGTGATGAGATTGCATCACTATTTTAGTCAATTAGGCTTATTCCATTTAGTCATCTGTTTTTTTTTTTTCAACTCGTTGTCCTATCCCCACCAATGATTATGCCTGTAAACGGCATTCAATAAAATAAAATGAAAACTGGACTTCTGGCTTAAATACTGCAAAATAGTTACTTTATTAATTGTTCAGTATTAACACTAATCATTCCGGTTGGCTTTTGTTGAGGATGTTCTCTTCAAGATATTCGAGTCGATTTAGGTAATAATGTTTTCAGGGTGAACTGAATTTGAGTTTCCGATTTCTTTTTCCTTCAGTCTTTTTACAATATACTTCCAGGCTGCTCCAAACGATCCAATAAGACTGTATATCATTTAGCAAAATCCACATATGTATTAAGCATTTCACTCATTTTTTTTTAACTCTATGATTCGCTCGAACAACGTAGTTCCGTTCCCAATAAATCTGCCTTGCTTACGAATTGGGTTGATCAACCTGTTTTAATTTTAAATTCTCAATTACTGACGATTTTTTTTATTCACTTCAACAACATCTGTGTTGTGCATGCACCATTTAAGTGTATGGTTAAATCAGCGTCATTTGCACAGTTCCCAGTAAATTACCGTTGCTACCCACTCATTTTAACATTGTTTCTGAAACAGTGTGTACATGCTCGTATTCATTATATTCATCTTTCTCTCACACAGGCACTCTCTCTTCTCTCTCTCTCTCTCTTTCTTTTTCTCTCTCTCTGATTTACTATTTTGTTGTCTGGTTAGGTTTTCATATAATTCTTCCGGTTTCCGGTCATCGACAGCATGAAAGCAACAATTAATTGAAGCCTGATAGCTAGGGATGTCTCTCCTGAATGAAACCTCTTTATTACATTAAAAATAAACAAAAAATTGAAAGCCTTGCAGTAGTGGTTGAGGGAATTGGGTATTTTTCTGAATGACCCAAACTAGATTTTTTTTTACGTCGTGTGTCATACTAGTTGACATATCATTTCCCCCGACACTAAAAAAAAAAAAAAAAAAAAAGAAAAATACTGCGTATCAATCTGCTAGCATCGAACAATGAATGATATGAATTTTAGGTTTGGAGTTTGGATCTCAGTTTTTTGTTGATGTACAGAATGATTATCGGAAAGTGGGAACAGACTGCCAGGTTCAAATACCGACCGAGGTTCTTTGCATTCATTTTCACACAAAGTCATTTAGGAAAAGTACGGATCCATTTCTTCAATAACTCTCCATAGATTATTATTTCTTTCAGTATATGTGTATTTTTATGCAGCATTGGAAAATATATTGCAATGGTTCCCGTTGTTTTCTTTACGCTTTGTAATTCAGATAATTTTTCTTAGACTAGTTGCCACCAAAAGCTAGCGGGATCAGACTGCTTTGTTATTTAACCCATAGTTGGAGGGAGGAGGAATGGATCCATGCATTTCCCGAAAGGTTTTTTAAGCGAAAGGGGCACAACAGACTAGTCTTGATTTTGAACTCGCTTCGGTTTTCTGCGTCGGTATCTGTTACACTACTCGCATATCCCTATTAAAACTAATACCAATGTTAAATAAAAATGTTCCTTTCTCTATTCTTTGTTCTGTCCACAAGCTAAAATGAAGGCTTTTTGTCCCAAGACATTTACTTACCCTTACAAAGAGTAACTTATGAGATTATATGACATATTTTCTGCGTGTATATATTGATCTTAAAATCTAATACCTTAGAATTAAGCTAGTGTGGGACCTGTAGAATATGTTACGAAAATGCCCAAAATTATTAAAAGGTACGCATACATATTAAATAATAAATAATTTGTTAGCATAGGAATAAAGCTTATAAAACACGTAAGTATTTAACTTACAATAGACAAACACATAGATTATATGAAACAAATGATTCTAACGGAATATTTAACGACTCCGGTATAATGTCACCTGAAATGACGAATAATTAAAAACGCAGCTCCTCTGACATATAAACATTAACATTGCCAGATCGTAAGTTGCCGATTTGACCAGGCACCTTGAAAATATTTAAATGCGAAACCCTCGAAAATGCAGGACCCATAGCATTTGCTGTTTTTGCTGCTAGGTTAATCCGGTAGTAATTCTTTTTATACTATCGTTGACCAGGCCAAAGAGCAACTCAAGGTAGAGGGCTACTGAATGAGGTTGTTGTAAGTGAGCAAAAAGTTGAAGTGCATATTATGAAGATATGTAGGATAGATAACGGCCCAGTCTAAGACAAAATGGCTATAGAGTAGCGAAAGGATATAAGCGTTTTTTTTCTGTGGAAAAGAAGTTTAGGGTTGAAAATAATTAATCACCAACAAGGCCGCGTGACTGGTTTTGCACTCTGTCAAGGCAAGAACGTGTGGTTTGGGAAACTCCATCCCTTGATATGCTTAGAATAGAGATAGATTTGGGTTATATATTGTATCAGGAAAACAGATTTTTGGCTGACTTTGAATTATTTGGCTTTTCTTTAAAGTAGATATTTATTCGAGCGTTCACTCCTTGAACCGTATAACTTGTATCAATCATTTCGTTACTGAAGCCCTAAAGCTTATTTGCCCGATTCATTTTGTTGGTTACTTAGCACCACTGACAAAGAGTTCGTGATAGATAAACGGAAGATAGATAAACCGTCAAAGACTGAACGACGTCGCTTGACAAGACTTTGTACACATTCAGTGTTCAGGCTGCAGGTAAATTGGTGTGTCTGCTGTTAATGCGATGACATAAGTGTCTATCCAACACGTGGCAGGACATTGCTTTCCAGGAGACACACGGACAGTTTTGATTGAATTCCAGTCTTTTTTTCTTTTCTTTATTTTTTGATTTAAATGTAGAAATAGGTCTTACCAAGCGTTAAACATATACGACAGCCGGAGTAGTGTGAGTTTAATCTCCGCCAGCAAGATTATAGTTTAAATTCGTCATGCAGCAAATAAACACAGTATTTGTGTAAGAAATTCGATCGTTAGGGCGCTAGTTTAGAGGCTTGAAGTTCAGCTTTAGGAATTGTCTTGTTGACACTTGTTCCTTCAACATCTTGCGGGAAAAAATATAGCAAGATAATTTAAAAAGAATTACAATTGATCTTATAAAATATTTGTAATTACTTGTAATTCAACACTGACATATGCAGAAAATTAAACAATAATTTAGGATAAAAATAATCTTGTACATGTAAAATACACTCTATTAAATAGCTCTCAATATGATGAAAAAAAAAACATGAAATAGGAACTAGAAGAACATTTATAATTAAAATCAAAATAAAACAGATGAAATTTCTGGTACATATGAATTCAACGGGACATTGAAAAAATCAGGAACAGCGGGAAAAAAGAACAAGTAGCCCTCCTAAGCAAAGAAGGAGAGGAGGTTTTAGACAGTCATGATCGCCATTTCTCTCTATATAGTTTTTCCTGTACACCAGGTACTCCTGTCAGCTAAAGGCTAACTAGAGGGGCTGACTGAGCTCTCTTGCCTTGAAGTAACAACTAGATTAGGAGAAGGAAAACTCTAAATTCAAAACCATACTGAATTGGGATGGGCTCCGTCAGGTTTTCTTGGACTATTCACACTACTGCTGCCATGGCTGCAATACATGTGGTGCCGCTACTGGGCCAACATCGAGTGGCAAAAGTCTGTTTCTTACGTGAAATCTTCATGCCTAAGAAAAATTTCTCTCTGCGTTTTTCCTCATTATATATATATATATATATATATATATATATCATCGTCGAGGTTTGCGTTCATGCATGAAACAGACTTTCGCTACTCGGTGTTCTCTTCAGTGCCCACTTTACATGAGTATCCATAAAAATAACGTTTAAACAAGATAAATTAAAAATAACCATATATATATATATATATATATATATATATGTGTGTGTGTGTGTGTGTGTATATGTATATGTAATGTTTACATTTCTTTTGTTAAATGTAGAATAAATCCTTTTTTAGAGTTTGTTTAAGTACAGAACACTATAAATTGCTAGGAAATAATTAAAATTGCATTTAATTTGGAATCAATGCAGATGTAATGTTCTCGAAGGCAAGTTTATGCCATTGTTCCATAGCAAGGGGACCTACATGATGCTCCCCTAAAGTTAAGAGAATTTGAACAGATCATATCAAATGTGGTATGGACGTTTGCTAATGCACTTTGTGAGCAGTACTCCCTATTATTTATAAGCCAATGTGCCAGTTTACTAGTGGGCAACTTCGATAGAGACGATAGAAAGTATGTATTAAATGTGTTTCTCCCCTGAACTTTTTGACTAGATTCTATATATTAAACTAAAAAGTCATGTCTCAGTATCAAGCTACCTTCTCTCTCTGTCTCTTTCTTTAACCGAGCAAATATCATCTTGTTTTTAGTCCTCCACTGTCACCAGCTTTGTCTCTCTGACCGACCAGGAGCCCAGGTAATTGTAGTAGTAGTATTAGTAGCGGTTGTAGTTAAAGCCTTGAGGATTAAGCCGTTCTAGACGACGTGACGTTCAGATAATAAATAGTTTATCGGGCGTATACTATTCAATCGAGTCCCTATCAAGAGTGGGTTTATCTCGACTCGGGGAAATGCAGACGACTTGACAAGTACTAAGACTTCTTTTATTTAACAATATGTATTAGCTTGCAAGACTTAAGAATATTGTCATGTTGTGTTATCTTGGGTGTATATTCCGGACTATACAGTCGTGAGTTAAATAAACATGAGATTTTTAGCGTCCGCACGTGTGTGTGTCAGAAAGAGAGCGGGGGCGTAGAGGGTGCAGTGCAGATAAATGAGATGTCGTTTTATGTGCAGAATAATACAAGGTAACAAGAATAAAAGGAACCGTTTGCCTGGTTCAGGATTGAGATTAGTTTTAGTTAGTGATTCTAAAGTATATTTCGGCAGAAAGTATTCACCCAAACAAGTTTGATTAAAAAGATCCGGCAAGGTCTGGCTGTTTCATTTTTATTGTATTTTTTTTCCCCAATTTTCAGATAAGGCATTGTGCTGGAAGATATGGATAAAATATTAACTTATTCACAACTTCGAGCACTGTACTCAACACCTTATCCGAAAACTGGCAAAATACAATAAAAAATGAAACAGACCTTGTCGGGTCTTTTATTTTAATCAAACTTTTTTGCCTATGATTTTTTTTTTGCTTTAACGTTATATATATATATATATATATATATATATATATATATATATATAGTGTAACCCGGATATAAGAGACCCGGATATAAGAGAAATCCGGATATAAGAGAGATTTTCTCTGGTCCCAAAGTGTTCCCATACTTACCTAAACAAAATAGACCAAACCCCCGGATATAAGAGAACCGGATATAAGAGACTTCTTCTCCGGTGCCGACAACTCTCTTATATCCTGAAAGTACACTAATATATATATATATATAAAAATGAATATATATATATATATATATATATATATATATATATATATATATATATATATATATATATATATATATATATATATATATATATATATATATATATATATATATATATATATATATATATATATATATATATATATATATATATATATATATATATATATATATATATATATATATATATATATATATATATATATATATATATATATATATATATATATATATATATATATATATATATATATATATATATATATATATATATATATATATATATATATATATATATATATATATATATATATATATATATATATAGTACAGGTAATAAATCCGTTGGTATATAATCCAAGTGGATCCTAATAATATAAAATATGAA